ACCAAACTTGAAACAGAGTTATATAAATATGCTATTAAGGCAACCATAAAATACAGATTCATATTGCCAGAGACTAAAATTGTTGTTTTTGTTTTTGGTAATGTTGAGTCGAGTATTACTCACAGTGACCCTATGAACAACAGATCTGAATCCTGTCCTATCCTGTGCCATTCTCACACTTGCTGACACACTAGAGCCCATTACAGCAGTCACCGTGTCAATCCACCTGGTCTAGGGTCAAGAATCTTCCACTTCTTTGCCAACCCTCAACCCTTTCAAAAGACTAATATAAACAACAAACATTTTAAGATGTTTTGAGTTTTAGGACCATGAATGAATTATTATTCTTATATTTATGTGTATGGTTATTTATTACTATGTAACACGTTACCTAGTAACTTAACCACTAGCATTTATTTTGCACAGGGTTTGGCATCAACTGGAGGGCTCAATAGTTGGGGGGCTGGAGTCCTGTGGGGTTTTGGTTACTCATGTGTGTAGTAGCTGACACTGTGTCTATGGACAGACATGTGATGGATATATATATATCCTTTGTTTCATGATATTCATCAAGAATAGGGTTTCAGACCTCAGTCTTAAGATGTACACAGTTACATGGTTGTTTCCTAAAGATTTTTAGAACATTTTTTTTAAATATAGTTATCTAGTCCCTGACCTGACGCAAATGTCTATCAATGTTTAAATGACCTTTGTGCTTATCTTTTACTTTAAATTATTAACCTTGTCAAACCAATTCACATATATACTTTGGGATCATGTTTTATGAGAACTAATTCTATGGAAATTTATCAAGAATGAATTAACACGCCACTCCATCCTCAAGTGTTTATATTGCTAAATACTTTGTCATTTTATGGTGGTTGTTGTTGTTGTTATGTGCCATCAAGTCGTTTGCGACTCATAGCGACCCTATGCACAACAGCCCTAAACCCTGCGCTATCCTGCGCCAACTGCACTGCCTCTGACACACCCATCCCGATTACCCCAGTCACCGAATCAATCCATCTCATAGAGGGTCTTCCCCTCCTGCGCTGTCCATCCACCCTC